ATTTTTAAAAAAATCTTTAAGTACTATAGCCAGTCCCCAAACCCTGTATGGCTGCCTTGTTTTTAGTTAATTTCAATAGTTGAATAATTCCAGTTCTTCCCAGAACTTTCTTATTTTGATTCATTTATATTTTCCTGAGGTTTTGATTTGTAGTATATTCTGCCTGTTTTACTTAAATTGCAACCTGTAAGACAGAGGCTAGAATTCCTTCAATATGTTTTGTCACACCAAATATTAAATAACCACAAAATATTTTTATCATAAGAGGAACCATTCATCTCTGAGTTATAGTGCTCACTGCAATTCACACCATTCAGAGATACAGTAATACCTTGGTTTGTGAGTATAATTCGTTCTGGAAACAAACTATTCATATTGCAAGACATTGCTCGTTTACCACGTTGAAATGTACTTGGTTTGCTAGCATAATTTGTTCTGGAAACAAACTACTCGTATTGCAGCACATTGCTCCTTTACCAAGTTAAAATGTATGAGGAATGTTTGCTCGTCTTGCAGAACACTCACAAACCACATTACTTGCAATCTAAGGTTTTACTGTATTTGACTTTAGCTTGTGTCACTGGTACAATGGCCGTAAACAAAATTATTTGGAGGAATTGGCCTTTAATGTCTCTGTTCATGGTCATTATCCTTTTATCACAAGCTTATCTGCTTTGTCTAAAATAAATTGTATTTGAAATCTCTCAGGTGTCACCTTGCAATGTAAAATGGATTTATTTCAGATCAAGTTTAGACCCTAGGGACTTTCAGAGAATAATTACCTCCATTCTGGCTAGCATCCCAGGAATAGTGGCATTCCATAATGACAGTATTGTAAGTGACCCAGCTACAGCTGCTCCAGGTACCCCCTCTATTAGTCTCCTAATGTATTATTCTCTGGAAATGTCATGACCTATACATCCATAAACTTTTTCTTGGATTACCAAAGGACCCAAGAGAGTTGCCCATTAAGCAATATCATTAATTTTATTCACAGTAGAGTTAAGATATTTTATAGCTCAGTTCATATTTTATAGATAGCTTAAAGGGTACCTACTGTGTGTAAGGCAGTGTTTCCCAAACTTTAGCATGCATCAGAATCACCTGTTAAGGCTTGTTAAAATACTGATTACTGCCACCATCCTCCCCCCCCCACTCTCCACCCCCTACCTCTGCAGAGTTTTTAATTCAATAGAAATGGAGAGCAGTCTGAAAATTTGCACTTCTAACAAGTGCCCAGATGAAGGAGATGCATTTGGGTGGGGAACCTCACTTTGGAGAAGCACTTGTGTAAGACATTGATTCTCACATGCACTGGGCAGGACAGGGAAAACTCATATCTCAAGGAGCTTGTGGTCTCATAGGGAAGATAAGATATTGACATAAATAACATATCATTGTCACGTTACATGCTAGCAGGTAGAGTAAGTGGACAAGAGGAAAGGCTGATAAAACTTTCAGTTTACAAGGCCAGGGAATCCTTTGTGGAGGAGGTAGCAAGGAGCTGGGCCTTGACAGATGTGTAGAATTTCGAAATCAAAAGCTGCAGGATGAAATGGAGAACTATATCCCTGTTGAAATACGTTACATTAAAAAACTGTAAAAGAAATTCCTATTTGTGACATTTATGAGATAATTGAAAAATTGTAAATCATTGAAATTTTCAGTTGTCTCATAAATGTCAAAAATTGTGTTTTTAAACAGTTTTCAATGCAATATGGTAATCAATTAATATTAATATTTTTAATGTGATAATAGTATTGTGGTTATGTTAAGATGGGTCTTTATCGTTTAGACATGTATCCTGAGATATTTGTGGGTGAAGTGACATGTTGTCTGGAGAAGTGGATGGTTTGTGGATAGAGCAGTTTGGCCAGTGGTTGATGGTAGCTGGGACCTGGTGACAGGTTCATGACAAGTTCATTATGATCTTCTATTTACTTTTGTGTATGTTAGAAATTCTTTGTAATAAAATTAAAAAAAAAAATAGGAACAGTATAAACAAAATTGAAAAACTAAAGTAGTGCAGGGCTGATTGTTTATTTTTATTAAATATAAACAATATAAAGTACACAGTTGAACAATAAGGGTAAAATAATAAATTGAGAGTAAGTCAAAGATTTGACTTGAATGACACTAAGGAATATGGGATATATTTTTAAGACAATGGAGGAACAGGGAAAGTGTTTTGAACAGGGGAATAATATGACAGAAGTGCACTTTGAGAATATTATTGTGACAATGGTAGGCAAAACAGATTGGGAGGGCAAGAGTCTGGAGGTAAGAATCAGGTGGTAAAGGCTTGAATAGAGATTCAGAAGGTAAAAAAAAAAAAAGCTGAGGGTGGGAGTGGGGGAGTCAGGAGCTGGGGGTATATAGATGAATCTATTGGTATTGGCAACCAGTTAACTATGAAAGAGTCATGGAAGATTCCAAGATTCTAAACTTGGAGACTGTGAATGCCATTGAAAGAAAGGGGATATTTTTGAAATATTGCTAGGAAGGAATCCATGTGGTATGACCAGCAGATAGTTGGAAAGATGTGATTGGAATACAGAAAACAGGCAATACAAGATTGGATCTGAGAAACATCTATGTGAGATGGGATGAGATTGCTTTGGGAAATAAGTTAATGGGAAAAGAGAGTCAAGAACTTTGGGAAGCCTCTAAATTTAGGGACTAGGTAAGAGAGAAGAGGAAGGAGAGAAGGGACAAGCAGAGAGATGGAAGGCATAAAACTTTACATTCATGTAAGTACTTTAGCTTAGTGGTATCAACTATTCAGTCCACAACAATAGACCACAATTTAATTATGATAAATAAAAAACTGAATATTCTTTATACACCTATGCTCATAACTGTATTATTATGAGGGTTCTTTAGAGAAACAGAACCATTAGGATATATTTATATCAAATCTATATTTATATTTATTAAAAGGAATTTGCCCATCTGAGGACCATCTGGATATTTCTGTCCACTTATAATCGGAATCAACTTAACAAAAATAGTCCACTAATAGAGAGGGCAGAAAAATGAGTCAGCTACAAGATGTTCACCTTGATCTAAGAGACATAGCTGCAGTCTTGCATCAATCATGAATATCTCAAAGCCTTGATAAAGAATTCTTTTTCCATGTTGTTCACGGACCAGTCATGTTCTGCCAGATTCCATCAAGAATGCACTAGAGAGATGACCCAAGCATCATTCTAAGCTTAGGAAATAATTTATGATCTTGAACTAATAATGGCCTAAAGAAAGTACTGAAATTGTTTTCTGACTATTATTAAAATTTTAGTATCCATTATGCTGAAACTGAAGTTGTTAGATTTGTGAGGCATTGACAAATTATTAAATGCATAATGCTAAAGAGCCCCACCTGACTGATTAATTAATTCAACTTGGGTTGGGGTGGAAGGGATGTATCAGCATACCTTGTTTTATTGCACTTTGCTTTATTGTGCTTGACAGATATTGTGTTGGTATTTTTTTTTTTTACAAATTGAAGGTAAGACCTTTCACCAGCAAAATGACTACGACTCACTGAAGGCACAATTGGCAATAAAAGTTTTAAATTGAGGTACATACGTAGTTTTCTAAAGACATAATACTATTGTACATTTTATAGACTACAGAAAAATTTAAATGTGACTTTTACATGCACTGGGAAACCAAAAAATTTGTGACTCGCTTTACTGTGGAGGAACTAAACCCACAATATCACCAAGGTATGCCTGTACTCTGTACTTATTTAGACATGGCACATACATGTTTCCTTAAAATCAGGATTCTACAAGTAGTGTGATTGTCTTGTAATGGGAGTTATATGCATTGCCTGAGCTAAAGTTAGTGTTCAATTTCAACAACTTCGCTATTTCTTTGCTAACTTAAATTTCATTGTATTTAAAGCCTTGTTTATATGTGTTTTAATATGGCAACCAATTGCAAAGGAAGAAGGTAGGGTATAAATTGTAATAATAAGAAACCGTTTGAGTGTTTATGTCATAAGGACCTATTCTAAGGCATTTGCATTATTATCTCTTTTAGTCTTCATGCTGGGTATATGCAGAAGATTTATTATTATTATTATTATTATTATTATTATTATTATTACCCTCACTTTACAGATTAGGAAACTGAAGTCCAAGAGACCAAGTAACTTTCCCACAGTCACACTTAATAAATGATGGAGACTGAATTTCAAACCCAGGTAGTCTTATTGCGGAGTTGGAGCAGTTAGCCACTGTGTAATTTATTAGAGAAGCAAACTGCATAAAGGACATTAACACCTGGTTAATATCGCCAACAATATTCTCTCAAACTCAGTATATTAAAATCATAATTCATCACACCTCTGCATTTCCGCAACACCCCTTCCCCTATATACCCAACCTACAGTGAAGACAATTTCAAGTCTGCCAGCAGTATCCTCATTCTTTCAAACATCCAGGCTATTGCCTTGAATTACCTCTGACTTCCCCGCTTTATTTTTCACTTTTATCTGCAATATAGCAATCAGAGAGGACAGGCACCAAGACTTTTGGCTAATAAAAGTTTTGTGTCATGGTCAACTGGGGCAGGGACTACCTATGTTAGGTACTTACTGTCTCCTAAAGTTTGTTTTAATTTACACGTTCAAAAACAGAGAATAAGAAAAATTTGGAAATGTTAATATTAGAAGCCAATAAACAATAATATTCCAGCCACTTCCCAATGAAGAGTTATTAAAAGATGAGATAGATTAAATAATGGTATTTTTATTAGCTTTATTATTTTTAATGAGCTTTAAGTTACGAGAAGTATCGAAGAAGAGGCTATATACTTGGCGACAGAATACAATTAAAGTCCAATATTTAAATTTGTTGCAGAAATCTTTATTTGAAACTGACGAATGGCCTGTCATGGGGAGAGTTTTCCAGGAACTACTAAAATAACACTTTTCCAAAGTCAAGCTGAGTGGGGCGGTCTCTCAAAAAAAGAACTACAAGTCCCAGAATGCCCTTTCCTCCATCATTTCCGCGAGATCTCGGGAGAGCTAGATCAACCAATCCCTTCACGGAAAACCTACGCTACCAGCCAATCAGAAGGCGAATGGGCGTCTAAAGTCGGGAGGCGGAAGACGCCGTTAGGTTTGAAATTGCAACGTTGGCGCGGCTGAGAGAGTTGGGTCTGGAGACCGGCGGTTAAGCGGCTTCGCATCATGTCTTCTGTAGGGAAGGCAGCGGGGCTTAGGCCTCCCGGCGAAGGTAAGAGAGGGGGGAACTTGGCTGAGCTCCCCGACCCGCCTGTCGCAATAGAGGGAAGTAGATTTGGGGGCTGATGTGTGTTTTCGGGGGCGCTGTCTATGAAATGCAGGTCCTGTTGCTGTTTGTGCGTCTGGACCTCGCGGGGTGGGCAGCGGCGAAGCTTGAAGGGTTTTGGGTTTCACCGAACGAGCTGTGTCTGTGGATTCCTGGGAAGCTTTCCGGCCTTTGGGAAGGTTTTAGCGTTACAGAGAACAGGTGGGGCCTGGAGTCTTACATCCTTTTATAACAGAGGAGGACACTGCGGCCCAGAGAGCCGAGGTGACTTGCAGCAGAGGTCCGGAACTGAACTCCCACTCCAGTCTTCATTTTACTGCTGCCTTTCCTGATCTGGGGTGGGAGGAAGAGGCAGGGGAGATCTGTGGGGTCTTTTCCTGTGGGGGAGGGCCCGCCGTCGGGGACCTGGCGATTCGGGCTGGAATGGAAAGGGTCAGAGTTGGCAGGGGCCTTAGATGTCACCAGTTTTACCTGTGAGAAAAGGGAGTCGAAGTCATTTTCCCAGGGTCACAGAGCGCGTGCGGTTGCGCTACTAACGAATTTCTTGGGAAGGGAAGGTTTTCCAGAATTCTTGCCTGCACCTGAACCGTAGTTAGGCCCCCGTGGCTTTCACCTGCCCTGGAATAATCTAGGGTTAAAAGTACGTTGCTAACCATTTCTAGCAGAGGTCAAACTGCCAAAATACAGTTGATTGGAATATGTGCCTGATATGATTAAAAGTAACTTAAAAAATACAACGTGTTTTCTGTTTGTTTTGTAGCATTGTCCAACAAATTGGCAGAGGACGAACTGCCATTGTTAGATAAAAACATAAATGAATTTTGGAATAACTTCAAAGTCAGTGCCAGTGACATCTGCATTCTGGTGGTGGCAATGAGAGAGACCTACAGAGACATGGCTAAAGCGTTTACAGGTACCTGAAGTTAACTTGTAACATGCTGTTTTGGTTGTTCTTTGTTTTTTAGTGTCATTTCAGCTGAACTGAAACATCAATTCGAATTTCTCTTTCAGAAAAGCTATCTGTGAAATTAAAGGAAGAAGAACGAATGATTCAGATATTTCTGGAATATCAAAATCGTATGTGACAAACTGTAGATCTCAATTTTGCTTAGATTAAAAATCTTTGAAATCCCTCATATAAGCAAAACTGTATTCTGAATAATAAGAATAATAAACATGGATGTATCCATAACCCAGCTTAATAAATAGAACATCCCATGTCATACCTTCCTCTTCTCCCACCTTCCAGAACTCACCTATCAATATTTTGTTTAGTGTTGTGTTTTTGAATGTTACATAAATGGCATCATTTTGTATGTATCCTGTCCATTTTTGCACTCAGCATTATACTTGTGAGATTCATCTATACTGATGTGCGAATGCCATAATTTCTTAAAAACAAGTTTGTGTTTAAATTGAAAATCGCAGACTGGGAAATCACAAAAAGGTGGAGTTCCCTCAGCTCTTTAGGGGTCAGGTTAGTAGTCTGACAGTTTCTCTTTATATTTTTACTACTGTGCTTGCCTTCTCGCCTTTACCACGCTCCAGATTATCCAGAGTGGATCAGCAGCTTTATTGAATTCTTAACACACGAACCACAGACTTGTGACCACAGGCCAGATTCCACTGGTGATACTAAATTTAGGAGCACCACGTTTTAAACACTGTTAAATTGGAATGCCATTACTTTGGGCATGTTTTCTTTAATTTGCCACAGTCCATCCCAATAGTTTCTTTTGCTTTGCCTTACCCACTTATCAACATAACTTTGCATCATTTTTTTTTCCACTTTGATAGTACTTTCCCGCATTATTAAATTCTTTGACAATCTATTCTTTATTGATGTACCATATTTAATAATTTGTTAGATGTTTAGGATGTTTTTAGTTTTCACTATTATAAAAAAACACTGAAAATAATTTTTTGTATATAAATACCTGCACACATCTTGTTTTTGTAAGGCAGCTTTGTAAAAATGAAATAACTGAATCAAAAAACATGAATATCCTTAAGACTTGTTTTACAATGTCAAAAACACTTTCCACAAGGACTCTAGTATTTTGCATTTATGTCAACACTATTATTTTTGTAAACATTGTTGTAATAAATGAAAATTTTATGTTACTGCTTTATTTGCATTTCTGTAATTCAGGTTAAATTATGTTTCAAATTTATTAACCATCTCCATTCCATGTTTCTTCTGTTTATTCCTGTGTTTGTGTGTGTTTGGTTTTTTTTTGAACTTATATTTGTGTTTTCTTTAGATTAAGAACAGTAACCCATTGTTGGGGGAAGATAGTTTAATGTTCAAAAACAGTCTTTGAAGTCAAGACCTGAGTTTGAATCCAGGTTTTAAACTCTTTATTGCATACTAGCAAAAAAAAGCTTTGGGCAAGTGATTTAACTGCTGAGTTTTTTTCCTCTTTTTTTAAAATAGAGAGTTAAGACCTACATAATAGTGTTATTGTGACATTTAAATTTATATAAATGATTTGTATAAATAAAAGATTTTGGACAAAGTACCTAGCATACAGTAGAGTTTTATGCTTATTTGAATCAAATATGAGTTTTTTTCTCCTTTTTGGTAATTTTTATGTAGCCAGTATATGCCTTTCACTTTGATTTCTTTTTACCTTTGAGTAAAAAGATGTTTCCCCCTAGAGTTAATTTTATATTCACAGATACTGTGAAAATAGGTTTTGTGAGATTTCATTTTATATTTAAATATTTAGTATATATGGAATTAATTCTGTATTTCAGCACTGTTTGGGAAATAATCTCTTGATTTATGATATTTATCATGAATTATCAAACATTTGTTTGGGATTGCCTTTTTTGTGTAATTGAGCTGGAAGTCAATTCTTAAAGTAGTACACCGCTAGTTTATTAATGTCACAATTACAGATATTAAATCGCATAGGGCAAATCCCTTTGCTTGTTGATTTTCTTACCATATTTTCTTAACTGTTCTCACCTATGTGTTCATTATATTAAATTTTATAATGTTATATCCTTCCTTTCCCTTCCAAATTTCATTGGGACTGCATTAAATATAGAAGTGAATTTTGGAAATATTGACATCTTAACAATATTTAGAAGCATAAAATGTCTCTTCATATATCCAGGTCAAATATATGTCTCAGACAAGTTTTGCATTTTTAAAAATACAGAGCCTACATATTTCTTGATATTTCTGAATGTTTTGTTTGTTACTAGAGTAACAAACTTCCCCTTCTTTCTTCCCTCCCTCTGTTACTCCCTCCCTTCTATTTCTTTTTTCTATCTTGTTGATGTGTTCCAGAATCATATAGCATTAAAATTAGCTGTTTCTTCAAGGCACTGTGTAAAGCCATTTTCTACAATTTGTCTTTGGTGATGGTTTTTATTTATGTACTTATTTGAAGGTGGGAGAGCTACAAGGGTCATGATCTTCTAATTTTCTATTTCTTAGTTTAATTTGGTATTCTCATCTTCTTATTTCTGTTTTGAAAGAGAAATAGGAAGATTCTTTTATAATTTAATCTTTTAGGAAATATTTAATAAAACATTCTGTATTAATCTAATGAAAGTCAATATTTTGCTGTTTTCTTAGCTACATTTTGGAGAACATAGCATGTATAGTCTAGCTAATAGTTTGTGCTTCTTAACAGAGATCTCCAGGCAGAATAAGCTCATTCAAGAAAAGAAAGAGAACCTGTTAAGGTTGATTGCTGAAGTAAAAGACAAAAAGCAGGAAATGGAAGTACTGACTGCAAATGTCCAGGATCTTAAGGAAGAATATGCCAGGAAGAAGGAAAGTAAGTTTCCAATTGTACACATATATACAACATCACTAAATTTCTAAGTGGTGATGGTTTACAACTGTTATGTACTTCTTGCCTGCTCTCCAGCTTATTGCCAGAAATAGAGATAACTTACCTTAGTTACTCTGTAAGGTGTCTGTGAAGGTAGCTAAGTGGGTTTTATTTTCTTTTGTTTTAATTAAAAGTCCTTTTGATTTTTTTTTTTTTTTTTTTTTTTTTAGCTGAGCCATCCTGCTACCTGTTGGCAACTCAGCGGCTGCTCAGCTCGGGCCGGGACTTGAACCGTTGTTGCTCAGAGCTCAAACTCTTGAGCGAGCTCTTAACCAACTGAGCCACTCAGCCGGCCCTTCCTTTTGATTTTTAATATAACCAGAGCCACAATGAAATTGATATTGGAGTTTAATTAAGCATAGTGGGAGACAGTTTCACTAAATCAAATTTGCCTGGGAGAAGCCATAGCCTAATTTATGCAACAAATTTATTAATCGCACGTGAGCTCTGCCAGGAACCATTAAGCACACTTTTATGCTAGAAAGTCTCTTTGTCCAAACAACTTTCATACTTGAATGAGTGTCTTGTTTGCCCACAAAGTAATTAATTTTCAAATCTCTTGAAAATAGCAAAGTTTGTTTTGATAATGCTTTTTCTTATAGTTTTTGTGTAAGTCTACATTTTTGTCATCTGCTATGTATTACTTAGGGAGTAATGTGTTAACTTTAAGAAAAATTTTAAACTAGCATGAAATAAGACTGACTTCACATGAGAAATAGTTATGTATAAAAGAATAGAATATTTTTCCAATGAAGCAATTTCTTGGCTAACCAGTAAAAGCAAAATGGTATAAAGAAGGTCTGTCTCTGCCAGCCATGCAAACCTTTGCCTATGTATTCATGCTACTATATAATAAACTAGAATAAAACATTTCTCTCATTACCTAGACATATTTTCTCATACAGTTTTTCCTTTCATCTTGAATAAACAAGCCCCTTTTGCTAATTGATAGAGATAGAAATTGAATAAACGTAAGCAAATTCATTTGCCTGGCACCATTTTTATAGTTGTTTTCAAG